CCCACCCAGGGACGGGCCACAAAGCCAATGAACCCAGCTAGCATCTGGACTCCAACCAAAAGACAACACAGACATAATCACCTTCTACACACAGGCTTTGTGTTAGATTCTCTACAGTGGTTCCATTCTTACCTGCATTCAGCATGCCCTTTGCCCTCTCACAGTCCACCTAAATTACTATTAGTGAATATCACTGATCTTCAGTCTTCACAGCAATACAATTTTCCCCCCCCCCCCCACCCCAAATGAGTAAAAGCCTCAAATCATGTCAACACCAAGTTTTGGAGAAGCCTGAGCTAAGAAAAATAAAAGGTTGTGTCTGAATTGCACAGACTGATGTTAAAATCCTTTCTTTGAAACCCTGGTAAATATACTGGGGCTGAGGAAGTTGCAGCCATCTTTCTTCCTCCCCTGGGCTCTCTTGGTTAAGCATGCTACACAGACATGGGGGACAGGCATACTCTGCCCCAAGCAAGACTGTGGTTGGATCCAGCTGTCTTCTAAATTGCATCTGGGACATTGGAAAGGACAGTTTTGGCATCCCCCATTCTGAAAAAGGTAACCAGCACCAAACCACAGTTGCAGGAGCCAGGAGAGCCAGAGCGTAAACATTGCCAGAAAGGAAGATGTCAGAGTACTTAGTCAGTAGCATTCTGTTGCTGGGTAAGGTCTTCTCTGCCTCCAGCCAATATACCCCAATACAGACTATCAGAAATACTTCCTCATTCCTGAGGAACTCTTCCCTGAAGGGACTCATCTTACAGGGTGAGGCACAGGGAAGAGCCACTGTCCCTGTTTAACCCAGGTGATCCAAGAGACCAACTGACTTCTTGCACAATCACCCCCAAACCACCTCACTGGACCAGAACTCTTATTCCTCTCTCTCGAGTTCCAGGCCAGTGTCTCAGCTGCAAGATAGCCTCTCTTGACCTACAGCTGGTGGGAAAAGAAATGCATGTGAAAGGGAACGCTGTCTGAGAAGAAAATCTATTACCTGCAAACCTGAAATCATCTTCTTCGCTTCTTCCATTTCCTTTTCCAAATGATCCTGTTGTTCCAAAAGCTTCTCCTCCCATGAATTCTCCAAGTATGACTCAGAGTTCCCTGCTTGCCACTCAGGCTGGAAATGAGATTCTGTCTCTTCTGGAATAGCGAGCAGATGAATGTGGTCATGACAGAGGAGTCCAGAAAAGACTTGCACCACACAATAACTGCCTGCTGTCCACACTAACTATCACTAACAAACGAGCATGTCTTCTAGCCAGTATCAAGGAAGTTGTTACAGGTGTGACATCTTGACTAATCTCAAGGATTTATGCCTCATTCTTTATGCAAAGGAAGCTTTCCTGCATACATATCTATCAAAGATAAGCATCTTTCCCCTTTGTTAACTTTGCTGCATCTGATTCTTCAGTACTGGCAATTTCAAAGCACATCACGGTGCAACGCACTGTACCAGCACTGCACCGCCTGTGGTAGAAAATACCTAAGGGGAGAAAAGCAACTGTGGGATTTGAAGAGCATGTCTTAGTGTCAGAGGGTGCACCAAGGACCCACTGAAGGCAACATTAAACAGTATTTCTACTTGTCAAATAAGATGGCTTTCTCAAGGTGGACAACATACCTGATTCTGAAAAAGACTTTTAATAGCAAGTTTAATAGCCTTGCATGCCTTTCCTGATCCTCACAGCATAAGCTGGATCCCTGGTTAACTATCACCTACTGGCTGGCCCAGGAATATAGAGGTTTTTTTCTTCCCTAAGAAGGGGTGAGGTTTGATGATGAATAATCATAGCACTGCTTGTTAGCTAGTTGACCAAAAGTGAAACCGGCCAATACAAGCTGCGGTGCATCCGTAGACATACAGGTGCAATATCCTACTGTGTGGGCAGCAAGCCGACACAGCACTGCTAAGAATTTAAGGAAGAGCCACAGTCTGCCAGCTACTTTAGCCACTAAGATAGTCTGTCAAATACTTTCAAAGGAGCATGGAAGCAGGACTACACTGGCTGAGGCAGCAAAGCATCTTCTAGAAGAGCTTTGCTGTCATTTACTCTTGGGATGGATGCTAACCAGAAAGTTATTATTAGGCTGCATTCATGAGAAGTAAAAGAAACAGACAAAAAAATCACTTCAGGAACTTCTGAAAAATCTTTCCTTCAATCTGCATGAAAATTTTAAGTGTAAACTGACCCTAAACTGACCCTATCACAGGGAATTTGTGGCAATACAGCAGTGACTTATCAATGCAAACACCACAACAATACTACAACTGTTCAATTCCTTGCAAAGGCCCACTCAACCTATGTAGAGATGTGCTGTAAACACAGACCCTTACACAAAGTCAAATTATGCATCCCAGGCTTCACAAACCCATGTGGACTCTTTCTTTAAGGGAATTATAAATGTTTGGGGTTTTTTTCAACATGGCCTAATGAAACTGTGATGAAAGCATTCACCCTACAGTGAAAATTATATATGACCCTTAAACCTTCGCCTTTTCTTTTCCCAAGCATTATTTTGCAAGCCTCACAGACATTGCCATATTATGGCATTATTGTAGTGTTAAAAGTTTTGTGATTTAGTTTTATGTGAACAGATACCTGCAAAGTACCTGGTTTAGTTTCTGTTTCTTCAGTGTGGATGATCACATATCTGTCTTTCTCCTCTGATGGGGCTACAGTGGATTCGCTCTTTGCACTATGTATAGGACTGGGTGACGTAAGACTGCAGAGAAAAGGAGAAACAGTTACTTCTAGTGCTGATCAACATCATCCTCATCTAAGATAAAAGTGAATATGCGGACAGACTTGTTGAAACTAAGCATTATCTGCATACTAGAGAAGCTATTAATAAACCAAACTGTGCATGTAGCTTTTCCATCACTCTACATCAGTGTCATAGCAGGCTAACTGGTAAGAGTACAATGTGTCTCTTCATTTTCCTTAACAGAATACCAGTTTGAGACTGCCACCACAGAATTCACATACACTCACACAGGGGTAAGACCACACTCTACTGAAGGTCTGTTCAGAAACAATTTACTGCGAGCCTTATGCTCATACTGCAAGCTGAACAAAAAGCCACCCTGTCTTGCTTCATCTCTTGCTCCATCTTTCAAAAGCACCACTTCACTAACTTGAAATTCCAAGGGCAAGATACCACTCACTCATGTTCTTAGGTTAAAACTTCTTGAATGTACCCACATATTTTCAGTGGAGCCATCTCAGCTGACTGAAGTTCAAGCAACCTTTTTTCAGAAATTCTTCCTAAATGCATCACCCAGACAACATAAAAAAGGTGGCTGAAGCTCACTGACCCATTCAATGTACCTCTAAAGTCACAGAAACTAATCCCTGCAAGTGTGCAGGAGTTAATTTTTCATTCTCCCCAACACAGAAACAAAGGACAGAGAACAAAAAGAAAACAGTGTGGAAATAATATAATAGGTTTAGGAAAATAAGAGGCTTTGACAGCTTGCCTTCCGCATCTTCCCAGCACTGCTGCTATATATTCCATAGCGCTCTCACAGAGTCAGAAAAGCCTTGCAATAGAGATGGAAATTACTTGCTAGCAGCTCCCGTCTGGTCCACTCCCACAGCCAGTGCTGGCCTACTTCTCATCTATATTACAGACCTTCAAGCAGTCTGGTTTTAACGGTCCAGACTAAATGGACTTTCACCATGTTAAAGAAAATGATGAATGCAACTTACTAAGCTAATGAATAACCATCTTCTAATGGAGATCTCTAACAGCTAGGTACCTGTTCTTTCCTGCTCAAATAGGGTGTGCATAACTGTTAAATGGGACCAGGCCATCTGGCTTTGCTCAAGGATTTAGCTTCAGGAAGGCTAACTCCATTACAACAGTCCCTGATTAGGTGCATTTCATACACAACGTTTGTCACCAGCCCCCTGCTCCTGCTTGTCGCTGAACGGGTGCACAACATAAAATTAAAATAATTGTTTGGGAGCCCAGAGACTACTATTGGGTTTGCATTATACAATAAGGGTCAGAGGAAAGGATGAAACTTTCAAACAGCACAGGTACAAATAGGAAGCCCAGCTGATCTAACATGTCCAGTAACTCTGAGAGGGATTTTAATTCCTGTTAGGAACAGATCTTTATATTCCTCCACATATTTTCCACCGATACTCTGAATGTGCCATCATTCTGATAAGGCCACTGAGAAGTGCATTAGTGGTTCTCATCCATGCAGAAGATGAAAGAATGAGAGGCAGTCCTAGCAAAACAATATTAGCAACTGTTGGGTAAGAAGGTGGTGAAACTGAGAGATGGGTAAGCACAAGGAACTGGAAAGAAGAATGAGCAGGACAAAAGCCAAGGGGATACATAGCCTTGAAATACCATTCCCCTCTTCCAAAGTCTGCTCCTCTCAGGACTAGATCCACAGCCCAAAGAAAATACAAAGGATCCCAGCTGGGACAGGAGATGGGTTAAGTGGTCGCTACAGGTCTCCACAACATAAACAGTTTTACAAATTTTTTTTTTTTGCTAGATATTCCTTGTCCACAGTCTCCTTCCCAGGCAGTTTCCCTATTTTAAAAGGCCAGTGGGTTCAACATGGCATCAGTGACAACCTCTGAAACCATCCCAAACAGTGAAAGAGCCACTGAGATGCACTCAGATGAAGCAGTAGTGCAGGTCAAGTTGCTTCACACAGTATGCTGTCAAGTTAATGCTGGAAACATTTCTGTGGTTTTTGTATCTGTCACCAAACCTGCTAAGAGTATGAAATATCCACTGATGTAATTTGTTCTTTAAAGTACATAACAATTCGCAATTAAATCATGCAGAAATAAGTGCTGGGAAATTAAAGCTATTTAAGACAGATTTATGATGCAAACTGTTCCACTTTATTCCTTTTACTAGTTGGTTTCTTAACCCATATCCTTTCTCCACTTAGTCCCAGAGTTGCCAGTGCCTGCATAGTCAAGGCTTTAGGGCAAGAGCCCCAGTGCTAAGTCCGAATTCTCATAATTTTAATAAACATCCCATCCCTGCTGTTTCAAATTACAATGGCAACAATTGCTCACCATTTGACCTGCTTCCCTCCCATGATCCCACTTTAACCTTTCGCCTCACGGAATCCGTTTCCCAGGGAGCCTCTGGATTCTGGCTACAGACATGTCTTGTCCCTTCCCATGCTCAGAATTCAGTGCAGAAGATGCCAGCTCCTGTCAAACTACTGGAGAAATATTTGCAGGCCAAATCTCTTCACATTAGCCGAAAGATTCACAGCAGAAATAAAAAAAACCCCTCAGGGTCTTTGCAAGAAAGTGTCAGATGGCAGATCAGCAGCCCACACACATGTAATTTGATTCCAGAGTCAGGGAATTCTGCAGCCTGGGTTTTGCTTTTTCTGGTTTTCCTCTCAGGTTATTTGTCTCTTGCTGCTGCATTTTGGTCAGCTGCACACCCAGTTGTTTTCATCACAAGGACTGCGATCTGGATTGCCAGTGGTGTTTCTCATACCATTCTGCCCTCTTTAGACTCCACGCACCTGCTGCAGATGCCAAAAAACAGCCAAGAGAAGATGCTCCTGCAAGCAGTAGGTTCGCTGCTATTCCAGGCTTCAATGCGGTCTCGAAAGATGGCATGCAGCACTTCCCAGCACTATGCACCGCTTCCTTTTCCTCGCTATCTCCAGCTCCCTCTCTCTCCTGCTGTCACACAAGCTGTGCAAGGCAGAGCCTTTTCTCTGAGATGCCTGCCTCAGAGTGGGGGAGGGAAGGTTGGTGGAAGGGGAGGGGAAAGGGAGATGGATGGGTGAGGGGCTCAGTGGCCTGGGAATCCATCTGATTTTGGCAAATTTTCCATGAATCATTTCAATTGCCTTTGCTTATTAGAGCTTTTGTCTCTGGGAATTCTGTTACTCAGGCTGTGAGCTCTCTTACTGAAGAGTTAATACAGAAACAAGCTGATGCTAGGCAGGGGATGCTGCCCTGGGACAGACACGACAGCAGCACAATTACATGGAGGGGGTTGCTGCAGTTAATAACCACATCTCTCTCTAATAAAAAAAGTCACTTGTTTCTCCCAGCCAGTTCTCATAACTAAGCTAGTACATTTCTCTCCGGAAGGAAAGAGAAACAAGCATCTTGTTTTCATCATAAAGCCTGGTGTTAGCAGAAGACATCCCCAGGAACTGGAGGTCAGATTGCTCACAATTTCTTTGGGTAGGTCACTGATCACTTATATGTAAAGCTTCTCACCACATTATGCTCTATTAGCAATAATATCACCATTACCATATGGTACAAGAACTCATGACATTATGGAGAAAAACCAAAAAACACAACAAAGTGATTCAGTATGTGCAGAGAAATTTTCACTCACTACCAAAATACAGCCACATATGAGCAAACAGCAGTTGTCTGACAATCAGTTATAAGGTAGGAGAATACACATAAAATACTACAGCTACCTGAAACTGAAGAATGAGTGGAGGGAGCAGCCTGTTTCACTCCCTGTCCTACTGAGATCACGGTTCAAGAGTCAACACCAAAGTCCTGTGGTATTAGCCATGAAATCCTGTTGCCAAGACCAGCATTTTTACACCTCCTCTGCAATGACAGCTTCGACAGTACGCTCTCTACTGACATCATGTGGAGGCAGTGGTCCAATACTGGCTCACATAGCATTTCCACAATCTTCCAAATGTGTATATCTGTATTTATAAAGATGACCTCACGATGGTACACAGCAAATTTGGGGGATAAGTGCAAACTACTGTATTTTTTTTCTCCTCTGTTGGGCCAAGTGACCTTAATTCTCAGGTACACAGGGGCCTCTTTGTACTATGGAGCATCAAAAGTGCCCTGAAAATTCCTGTGGAGACATCCTGCCTGCTGAGAAACTGTCGGTGGCAATCTGTCTTAGGAAAATGAACCCCCTCACTCTTGCACAAATCAGGGACGGGGGAGGCTAGCTGAGGCACTCTCATAGAGCAGCCCAGGCAGGACAAGAGACAACAAAGCAGAGTTGAGTCTTACAATGGGGACAGGAAACTGTGAATCAGAGCTGCAGCCATGCCCATGCAGCTCTGTCCTGAAGAGATTAAATGGAGCAAAGCATCATATCCAGAGGGAGAGCTAGTATGTTCAGTTACACAGTCCTTTGTCTTCAAGCTAGTTTCTTGTTCTCTGGGGAAAAAGGGAAAGGCTGTCCTTTACTATGAAACTATCCGTGCTGGATCAGCTCCCCCACCATAGTACAGTTTCTCTTCAAAAACCCCTTCAGCTACACTCTCTCTCCTATATCCATGAAAAAAAACAACACAGCCATGTGTCTTCCCTGTTACCTCCACTGCTCAAGTAAATTGGGGCGAGAGTTTTGACTTCCACCCCAAAGAAAAGAGTAGTAAGAAAAGCTTGTAAGGCGACAGTGTAATATGTTGTAACAGGCATACACTGCTCAGGTTCACAGCTGCAAGTTGTGGCACCTCCTATTTGAAATGTATTATATGCTGCCATTCTAACCAATCCTGTCTTCTATAGGTTCCATTTGCTTAGAAAGACTCTACCTGCACCAGCTTGACCTTGCTTAACTTGTGCAGTCAAGAACCCCAGTCAAGGCTGCAGGTTGTTTATAGCAAAGAGCACATACTTCTCAGGATCCATGTCCTACTTTCAAAGGGGAAGTCACCTCCAGTGGAAACCATACTGAACTCTGACTTTCAGGCCTTACAGCAGTATGCAGGAGATTTTTCACTAACATATTTAAATGCTGTACTTCATATTGAAGGTGGAAGTCTGGGGGTGGAGGGGTAAATCAGATAACTGTAAATCTAGAGACAGTTAAAGGTGATGGATGAGGGCACAATGGCAATGAAGACACAGCTGCAGATCCCCCGGGACCATATATCTGGAATAAGGACTGGTGTGTTCCTGTAACTGCTGTTGAAATCCACATGCCCCCTCATCTCTATCTCTCTGCAAGGCATGAGGTTTGTTGGTTTAAGTTCCTTTCCTACACACCTTTTCCATCAGCTCATGAAATATTCATCCCTTGCACCTGAGCTATTCTTCCCCTTCCTTTCTGTGAAGCAGGCCACAAACTCCATTTCAGCATCCCTCATGTCAGCACTCCCTCAAAAAGTTCCACCTGTACATTCAGGTTCCCAGTAAAATCTAGCTGTGTCTTTCCTAATCCTGTTCCCATGGTCTCACTGTGGTACACTCCAGAGCTTTAGAAAACTGTAACTCAGAAGTTCCTAGCTCTTATCTATGTGATCACATCATGAATGAGATCTATTTTTATCTGTGGAAGAAATGGCAGTAAGCCACTGCTTCATTCTCTACATCAGGCAGGAGACTATATGCTGGGAATCAACTCTTTTCTATCAGAGCTAACCAGATCACAGTGATAAGAAAGGGCACTTTAGGGAATGCCAGACAAAGGACCACAATGGTACACACGTTAGCCATAAAGTTCCTTACCTGGAAGGATGGGACTCCAATGGCATGTTCTGCTGCCCTTCATACTGCTGCACCAGTGCCCGGACACTCCAGTAGGGGTTTTCAATCTCCTCATCCATGCTGCTATTTCTGGAAATAATAATCATAGAATGAGGGAAGCCTCACCTGACTGATAGGAGCAGAAATCTTGTCTCCCAGAAGGAGGGTAGTAAAACTAATGCATGGAAGGTAAGAAGGAGGGGACAGCTAGAAAACTGCCAATTAAGAAAATTCTCCTATCAGGGAGCTCCATCCCATCTTCTTGGTGTGAGGGAAACACAGGCAAACAGGCCCTCCCCTTTTAAACTCATCCCTAATTCTGTGACTAGAAAACTACAAAAGCTCTGGGGAGGCAAGGAAAAGAACAGAATCTGCAAATAGCACAAACATTGGCTTTTCTGAAGAACTCCTGGCCCAAGGCCTTTGCAAAAGAAAACTTTACAATTTAATTTTTCAACAAAATATACCATTTCAACCTCATTTCCAAATTGCTTCATGGGTACTCCCTTGAGCCAATATAATATGGGCAAATGACCTTCAGCTGTGTAAAACTAAACCCTCAATAGACCACTATCTGGCTTCCATTTAAATGTCATTACTATTATTATTATAATCCACATAGCACCTTTTGCAAGTGTTAAATGTGCTTTTCAGAATTACACATTCCTTCTGCATATGGATCATCTCCCTTCATTATCACCAGAACTCCTCCACTTCATGGTAGACTGCATCAGCTGATTAACAGCACACAACACTCTGCATCTGCCTATATAGCAGTAAGCATAACACTGGGATGAACAGCAATGCAAAACAGAATGGACTTGTACCAAAGGCTCAATGCCTCAATCCTAGAAGTAACTGCTCCCAGATCTGTAACCAGTACCTGTAGTTAAGACCTTACTTTTGTTTCACTTGAAATGAGAAAGGCTCCAAGTAGACAGTACCAGGAAAGGGCACTGTGCTCAGCATGAAATGGGGAAAATGAGGCAGCAGAGTTGCCTCTGCCTTGGCCATGAAGAACTGTTCTTTTCCACTGAGATAACACAGACCCAGCAGCTATTTTGCTGTAAAACCTGAAAAGAACCTGGGATACCTGTAGTCTTCATCATGAGGCAGCCAGGCTAGGTCAGTACTCCCCTTTATTAAGCCACTATCTATTTAGGTTTCAGTGAGACTGCAGCAGTTTGTGTCCGCACAATAGGAGAGCTATCTTACACCAGCAATCATCAGGATAAAGAGGCATCTATTTTAAAAGAAATTACGTCCACCTGCTAACATGACCTGACCTCACATAACCAGGGAAAACTCATTACCTCTGTCTGTGCCGGAAAACATCCCGGCCGGATTGCAAGACATCTTGACGAACATCTGCCAGAGCAGCTACCGCCCCTTGGGCCACTGCAGCAGCTGAGCGAGGCCTGTGACTGGCGGACGATGCTGACAAGCTCTTCCCCACCATGCCAGCAGGGCTATGATTCATTGCTCTCCCAGAGCCTGGTTTGAAATGAGCAGCTAAGGCCAGGATCAGCCTCATGATAGATTTCAAGTTCCCATCAACAATATCTGCAAAATGCAAATAAAACCAAGGACAATGCCATTA